TAAAGTACTTTTTCAATTAATTTTGTTAGTTGCACAATATAAATATGATCGTCACTTTATGTCACATTTGTGTTAAATCGAAAGTCCATATTATTTTGTAAGGAAAAATTAAAAAAAATTAAAAAATGGAAAAAAATGACATCAATAATGATGATAGTAATAAATTAAAATCTTTATCAAATCATGTGTTTTCAATTTCATTAATTTTAGACAATATATTCCTTCATTTAGCATTAGAAAAAGATATATTTTCTTGTATATTGGTGAATCATTTGTGGAATCAATTAGCAACAGAAAGATTATGGTATAGATTTCGTGGTTTGAAGAATGATTTGCGAACAAATTCATTTTCAAGATTTTATGTTACACTTTCATCATCAAAAAGTATGCATCAATATGGCAGATATGTTAGAGTTTTAGATTTATCTCAACTAGAAGTTGAACATAATAGACTATTAAGTGTTTTAGAGTGTTGTAACAGATTAGAGGTATTGATATTAGGTAATCAAGAGTTGAAGAAAAAAACAATCAATGAAATTTGTTCAAGGTCAAAATACCTAAGAACTTTTAAATTAATAGATATTGAAATAAAAGAACCTGATGTAATGGCTGCTTTAGGGAAATATTGTCATAATTTAGAAGAGTTGTCATTGAAAAAGGAGATAGCATGTTCTGGTGAGATTTTATTGTCAATTGTCAAAAATTGTCCAAAATTATTTAAATTAGAGATAGAAGGAAAAGATTATAATAATCAGACATTATACAAAATATTGGAAAATTGTCCAAATATTTTGACACTGAATATAAATCAATGCATGAATATAACAGATGAGTTGTTAATAGCAACTTACAAATTATGTACAAATTTAAAGAAGTTATCATTTAAAAAGATTTTTGAAATTACTGAAAATTTTGTGATTTCAACTCTGAATCACTTTCCTAGAACCTCAACAATAGTAATTTCTAATATTGATAGAATGTTCCAAAGCAGCATTGAAGTTGATGGGGAAAAAATATTTTTAGTTGCAAATTTGTGTGATGTTGATATTCATAGAATCATTGATTTTTATAGCATTAAAGAAGATGGATTACAAGAATTGACTTTTATTGATGTTAAATTGGATAAATCACTATTGAATTTTATTTGCATAGAATTGAATGGTTTATTTGTATTGGAATTGCATGGTATTTCTGGATTATCTAAAATGGTATTTTATCTATTTTAATAATCTTGTTCCTATTATGATAATATTAATATTAATAATAAATGTTTTTGTGTAAATTGTTTTTTAGGATATAATGAATGCCTTGGAAAACTTAAAAGAATTGCAAATATTTACAGTGAAATTTTCATCAGTTGATCATGAAGCATTTTTTGAAAATGATAAGGAACAACTTGTTAAATATTGCCCAAAATTAAAGGCTATAAAATGGCATTTTCAAAAAATATACATCAAAGATAATAATCATGTATTAAAATAAATAATTGTAACATCATGTAAAACTGTTTAATAAATTATATGATGAATTTTGTGCAAGGATTCAAAATGTTTCAACATGGAAGTCACATTAAACTTGATAACAACAACAACATTCCAACCCAAAAATATTATTGGCTTAAACTTAAATATTTGATGAATCAAAACAAGAATATATAATCTAAAAAAATCTGTGTGAATCGTCTTTTGGAAAAAGTGCTATATTCATTTATCCAACCATTATGATTTGACCAAAATATGCTGTTTCTTTTGATGTTGATGGTAGTGAAGTAAGTGCTTTGTAGAGCTAAAGATAAAACCCCATTTTATTCAAAATATAAAAGAAAATATCATTGTAATTATTGAATTATTTTTTGCTATGACTTTTTTTATTAATTAAAAATTCAAAAACAAATACTCTTCCCTTTTTTTTTCTCGTTCTTTTTCTTTCATTATCTTCTTTTACACACAAAAAAAAGAACCTAGCAAAAATTATTATTATGGGGAATGCTCACATGATTAGGTCACACACTGTATGCCGCGCATTGCAAGATGATTGATGTAAAAGAAGTTTTTTTTTAATAAATTTATAACAATAATAATAAAAAGATGACACCTTTAAATAAATCTGTAAGTTTAATATGATGTTTGTTTTAGATCAACCTTTCAAT